CCCTGGCCATGGCCGTGCTCATCTCTGTGCATGTGGCTGTGCACCTTTGCGCAGCACCATTCCGCCAGCTCCCCACACCCGCCCTGCACCTACCCCACGCTCACCTGCGGACACCAGCCGGGCGCAGAGGCAGCAGAGCCCCAGGAGCAGGAGCAGCGACAGCAGCCGCATGGCGCAGGGCGGGCAGCGTGGGGGCTGCCTGTCCGGGCACAGGCAGGGGTTTAAATCCTCCCCGGGCTGGAGGTTGGTCCCAGTGACCCGGTCCATGCCCCAGCACCTGGCACGCTCCGTCCGAGCGTGACCCCCCCCCCCGTCCCCTCCCTCCCATGGCCTGCTGCTGCTGGATGAGCCGTGCGGAGAGGCATGAAGGTGCTGCTGCTCGGTGCTGGGCTCTGGGCAGCCCTGAGAGAGCTGTGCTGTGCTGTGCCATGCCGTGCTGTGCCACAAGATAAGAGCAGCTGGTGCAGCTTCCCACTGCGGGTGACAGGTACAGACCAGGTGGCAGCAAGGGGCTGGGGGACCCCGGCATGGGGCTGGCTCTGCCGAGGCAGTGGAGGTGGCTCCCCAGCTGGGTGCTGTGGAGCGGCCCATGGTGCCCTGGCAGCTCGCCGGGCATTGTTCTGCCTTGGGGAACAATCGCTGGCTCCTGAGGGACGTCCTGTGACTGGACACGGTCCACAGTCCTGCACTGCCACAGGCCCCTCAGCCCCGCACCCCCCGGCAAGCCTAAAGCAGGTGCCCAGACGGCCCCACACCTTGGGGTGGCAGCCAGGGACCAGGACTGGCCGGGGGGATGCGGGGCCCCGGTGCTGAGGGCAGGGAGCCAGAGGCTGCGTGGGGGCTCTGCCCGGGTGCCAGGACTGCGGGGCCATAGCACTGGGTCCCATGTCCTTGCTGGAACTGCGGCGGGTGCCCGTGCCCCTATCACGTGGTGCTGGAGCTGCCTCTCACCTCCTGCACCCTTCCAGGGGGCTGGTGGGACCGGCCACCCCAGCCCCTGTGGCCACCCGCTGCCAGGGCTCCGGGCATGGGCATGGATCTGCACCAGCATCATCGCTCCGAGGGACACAGCCCTTCCCAGGGTCTGGCTGCGCTTCCCACCCACGGCTCTGTGCGTGCCTGGAGCCCCACAGCAATCGCTTGGGCACTGGCTCTCCCGGGGGGGGCCCGAAGCCACCCCCAGCACCATGCTGAGTGGGGGTATTTGCAAGCGTGCCACAGGCTGCACCAGCAGCAGGGGCTGTCCCGGGAGCTGCTGCCTGTCCCTGGGGCTGCACCGTGCCAGCGCTGCGTGGGGCTGCAGATGGGTCTGCTGGTGCGGTGTGTCGCAAGGATGGAGGCACCGGAGCCGCTGGGGCTTTCCCTGCCGGCTCCCTTCCGGGAGTGCCTGTCCCTGGGAGAGGCAGGAGGGCTCTGGCGTGCTCGGCCAGGCAGGCTGCCTGCACACACGTGTGCATGTGCATGTGCACGTGCATGTGAAATGCAAGCCGGCCAGGTGTGGACACGTGTGCGTGCATGTGCATGCGTGTGCAGTCCACGCTCCGTGTGCATGTGCCATCTAAACCGTGTGTGCCCGTGTGTGCCCATCGACAGTCCAGGCTGGCTGGGTGGCACCACGCACTTGCCAGCAGCCAGCTACGGGGGGGACCCTCTCCTGTTGGTGTGTCCCTGTGTGCGGGATGGAGGTGACCTGCAGGTGGGATGACCTGTCCCGGGAACCCATGGAGTTGTGAGAAGAGGAGCAGTGGGGAGCGCTGGCTCCACTGTGCCACGGTGTCCCCGCTCCCTGCAGGGTCTGTCCCTGTCCCTGTCCTTGTCCCTGTGTGGGCTTGTGTCAGCCCTGGGGAACGTCGGTCCCGACAGGCCAGCGGGCTCCGCGTGGGGCCAGCCAGGACGTGCCACAGCCAGTGGGACCCGCTCTGCCCCTTGGCTCCCCCAGCCCCTCTCCTGCTGCATACCCGGGCTAGGCAGGAGCATCATCCTGGTGGCACAGCCCCATCCCTGTCCCCGCTCGGTGCCCGCCCTGGGAGGTGCCACATTCCTGGGTGCTCCCTGGGCCAGGCTGCCCTGGTCGCTATTTCCGCCACGGTGGAGGTCTGGCTGGCAGCTCTGCCCTGCACGGCTGCGCCCATTACCCACGCTGCATGTCCCCTGCCGCGTGAGCTGGATACGGTGGCAAGGCAGGCCAGGGGTCACCGACATGGGTCCCCCGTGGGGCATGGTTTTCTGTTGCGTGCAACCCCAACATCTGCCTGGAAGAAGCAAAAACCCCCAACCCCAGCACCCGCGGGGCAAGCTCCTGTGTCCACCGTGGCATCCCCCTGGCTTGGCCACGGCATTACCGCTGGTGCAGGGACAGCAGGGGCTGCTCTGGAAGACGATGTCAGTCGTTACAGTGATCACCTGGATGGCTGAGATACCGTGGAGAGATAGTGGGGAAAAATGTAGCCCCAGTGGATTTTGGTGTCATGGCCCTGCCCCCCTGCGGGGTGTGGGGTTGGGAGTTTCGGTGCCACCAGGAATGTCCTGAACAGCTCAAGGTTGTGGGAGACATGCCAAGGGCGGCTGCCAAGCTGTGGGTCTGGGACCACCGCAGTCCCGTGCAGGGATCTCCTTCCCACCGCCCGCCCTGACCCTGCCCCCCCCGACTGCCACCGGCATGGCCCTCCGGCTTTGCTCCCGCCCCGCTCGGGCTTTGCCACGTTGCCGTGTCCCACACCAGGGACACTGCCGGGGTCTCCGTCCTGGGGCTTCAGAAGAGAGGCAGGGAAAAGCTGCAGTGGGGTGCGGGCAGGTTGCGGTGCCGCCCTCCAAACCCCACCCCACTCCGACTTTCCTGGCCTCTCCCCACAGAGCTCTCCTCGCCCTCCGCTTCCCGTTGGGACAGTAATTACAGCAGTAATTAGAAAGACAATTATTCCTGCTGAATGAGAACAGCTTAATCTGTTTCTCCCTCCTTTTGGCAGGTTTCACCCCACGCCCGCCCACGGGTGCCGGCGGGATGCCGGGGACCCACCTGCTGCCCGGCCCAGCGCCAGGAGCCCTGTGCTGCCGTGGGTCCAACCACCGGCCAGGAGCGGGGCAGGCTGCGAGCCGAGGTGGTACCCACGGGCTCAGCCCTGTGTGTGTGACTGTCCTGCCCGGGATGCCCTCTGTCAAACCGGGGATGAGAAGGGGAGAAGGGGCACGTCCCTCCCCATGCGCAGCCTTTCCCTGAGGACCTGCATCGCAGGGAGAGCAGGGAGCGCAGCACCATGGTGTGCGATGCCCCAGACCCTTCCCTGGCTGATGGCTGTGCCAGAGCTGGCGGTTTTCCGTGCCCTGGCAAAACGGGCCCGCCCCCACCACACTCACTGGTAGCAGAGAGGCCAGCACCGACCTCCCCCTGCCCATCCCCATCACTGGCTCGTCCCCAGGGGGCTGTGGGCAGGTGCCGGCAGTGCCCCCAGCCCAGACTGGGCACACCGCTGCCGCCCAGCTGGACTCCCCATGGGCTGCACCAGAGCAGCCGTCCTGTCCTACCGGTCCCCCCAGCTCGAGGGCTGTGGCCGGGATGCTGCCGGGGAGGCCGGGCCCTGCCTGGGTGCGGCTCGTTACCCGCATGGCAGGAATTAGCCGGGCTCGGGCGCCAGCTCCGCTCCCTCCGCCCCACCAGCACACCTTAAATCCCAGCCCGCCGCACCCGGGGCCCAGACCCGGCTGCCCAGGGCACCATGGAGCTGCCGCCCAGCTGCCTCCTCCTCCTCCTTGCAGTCCTGCTCCCCCTCGCCGCACTGTCTGGCCCGGCCCTGCACACAGCTGGAAGAGAGGAGCCAGGGACGGGTGAGTGTGCCTGGGGCACGTCCCGAGGACAGGGATGCTTTGGGTGCTGCTGCTGCCTGGTGCTCCCCACTGCTCTGCGTGATGCTGGGTGTCTGCGGGGGCACAGGGCTGTGGGCGATCGGGGTCTGGCCCTGGGGCACTGGGGGGCTGCTCAGCCCCCAGCTCTGCGGCTCTCCCCAGCGTCCCGGCCGCTGTGTCCCACAGCAAAGGCTGGGTACTGCTACCACATCCCAGAGGTGGAGGACCTGCTGGACGAGGACTGCGGCACCTGCCGCAGGGACGTCTCATGCTCCCGCTGCACCAGCGACGCCAGCTGTCCCGGTGCCACCAAGTGCTGCCCCAGCAAGTGTGGCTACACGTGCCAGGAGCCGGTGCTGGGTGAGGGCTCGGTGCTGTGGCGGTGGGGCTCTGGAACGGCAGTGTGGTGAGCGCAGGGGAGGGCAACAGGAGGGGTGAGCCAAGGCAACCGGGAAGGGGGTTCTCTGGGGTGACCCCGAGCTCTTGCCTGTCCTGCAGACCCAGGGGGGGCACCACGCTGTGCAGTGGGGGAGCACCTGGGCTGCTGGCGCGTGGGGCAGGCGGGCGCAGAGCTGGCTGCCAGCGGGAAGGGTTCGGCAGCGAGAGGGGACCAGAGCTGTGCAGACTTCTCTGAGGGCCCCGGGAGCACCAAGCCCCACGGTGTCCCCATCCCATTGCCGGCTCAGCCCATTCCCCTTGGACTGCCAGATTTCTGCTACCTGCCCTCCGTCTGCGGGAGCTGCAAGGCACTCTTCCGCCGCTTCTTCTTCAACGCCTCCAGCCAGCAGTGTGAGGAGTTCATCTACGGCGGCTGCGGTGGCAACAGGAACAACTTCGAGACGGAGGGCGAGTGCTTCCAGGCCTGCTCCCATATCGGTAACTAGCTGTGTGCCGTGTGCCGCGTGCCGTGTGCTGTGGCCAGCAGCTGCTCCTGCCCCTGGCGATGCCCAGCCCAGCCCCACTCCTGACCCCCAGTCTCTCAGTTCCAGGTGCCTGATAGCGCCGGCCCGGGGAGCACGGTGGCCTCTGCACGGCCCCTGCCCGGGGGAAGCTGCTGCCAGTGGCCACGTCCCCGGCCACGTCCCTGCAGGGAGCCGTTCCCCGCAGGGCTGGCGGTGACCGGTGCTGCTTCCCGGGGCGGCCATGCTGGGGGCTGTGGCTCACCCGGGGATGCTCACCAGCCCGAGGGCAGGGTTGTGCACCCACAGCAGCACGGCTGCCCCCTCCTGTGTCGTGGTGCCCGACCGCAGGAGCCCGGCCCTCCCCTGGGGCTGTGACACTTCAATACAAGGACAGGTCCTTGGATGAGCACGTCTGGGTCTTGTCCTTCCTGCCTGTGCGGGCAGGAGCAGGCAGTGCCCATCCCTCTGGGCCGCCCCCCCTTGCTGGGACCAGGCAGTGGGTGCCTTCAGAGCACTACATGGCGGCCCCAGAGCTCACCCTGGCCACTGGATGGGCTCCCAGCCCCGGCTCTGCTCTCAAGCTGCTGACGTGACCTGGCTGGGAGCTAAAGCGACCCAATGGAGGAGACATGGCCCCTGCCTCAATGGATGCCCGGGGCGGTGCCCATCCTGCAGCCTGCCCCAGACCCAAGGCTGTGCCTGCACTGCATCGCTGGCCCCATGGTGCTGACTCTGGCGTGGGCTGAGCCCCCTGGCCCCAGCCCGGTGGGACCATCCCTTCCCCTGCGAGGCCCTGGCGATGCTGGGGCTGCTCTGGGAGCACAAGGGGCCGTCCCAGGGCCTGGTGGGGCCAGCCCAGTGCTGCTGAGACTTGGGGGCAGATGAAGGTGGCCACGCATGCACTTTATTGCTGGAGGTGGTGGGAGGGGACAGGCCAGCTGGGGCCCATGACTGCCCCGTGTCCCCTAATGAAGGTGTCTTCCTGCCATGGAGCTGCTGCTCTCCTGTCATGCAGTGTCTGAAAAGGAGGATGTGCTTTTAGGGAGCCCCGAGGTTGCGGGGGAGAGGGACTGGCAGCCATGGTTGCAGCTGAGCACAGCCGGCTCTGGTGAGAGCTTCCTCCCACTCTGCGTCCCTTCGGGTCCCCGTGCCCCGAAGGCGCGTCTCTGCTGGGAGCAAAGCAATGGCGCAGCAGCAGGAGCCGTCCCTGCGGTGATGCCGAGCCGGGAGCATGCTGAGGGCTGTGCCCTTCACGCAGGTCTGGCTGGCACCCCGCATGCCCCGGTGCCAGCCCTGGTGCCAGCCCCAGCTTGGCAGCCCTGAGCCCCCTTACCACCAGGCACCCGTGTGCAGACGTGGCCGCAGCCATTGCTGCAGCACTTGTGGCCCCAGGGACACTCCTCGTCAAGGCTGCACAGGTCCAGGCACGTCCCACGGCCCCTGGGGACGGGGCACGCTCCCTCTCTGCCTGCAAGGCAGAGCACCCCACCATGGGGCACCCGGCTGGGGGGCACCCCATGGCTCCTGGGGCAATGCCTGGGTCCTGTCTGGCTGAGCTGCATCTCACCTCCGGGGATGTCCATGCAGACGCGGCCACAGCTGCTGCGGGTGCACCTCTGTCCCCAGGGACACTGTGAGTCAGCCTCGCACTCCTCCGTGCACTGCTTGGCTCTGTGCTGTGGCACGACCGCAGCATCACGCTCTGCGGGCAGGAGAGGACAGTCACGTGGCGGCTCTGAGCTGAGGCCATGTGTGCTCATCACTTGCACGGAAAGAGGGGGAGGCATGGAAAGAAGGACGGGGGCAGATCGTGTCCCTGGAGCAGGGAGGGTGCGGGATCCTGTGGGCACAGCCACCTCGGCAGCCCCCGGTACAGGGCTCCAGCGTGGTGACAGTGCGGAGTCCTCACTGGGGAGGGAGGGCCAGGATGCCCCTGCGAGGACGGTGCCGGGGAGACCCCAGGCTCCATCCCTGCTGGGCTGAGCTGGGTGGGGGGACCCATGCCCTGGTGCAAGTGGCTGACCTTGCAGAGAGGCTGGCATGCAGACGTGGCCGCAGCCGTTGCTGCAGCACTTGTGGCCCCAGGGACACTCCTCGTCGAGGCTGCACAGGTCCAGGCACGTCCCACGGCCCCTGGGGACGGGGCACGCTCCCTCTCTGCCTGCAAGGCAGAGCACCCCACCATGGGGCACCCGGCTGGGGGGCACCCCATGGCTCCTGGGGCAATGCCTGGGTCCTGTCTGGCTGAGCTGCATCTCACCTCCGGGGATGTCCATGCAGACGCGGCCACAGCTGCTGCGGG